TGATGTTCCCACCAAGTGGTTTTGTGACTTTTCTCTGCCTGTTTGAGTTGATAACGTGGTTTTCAACTCTTCTGTGGATCTGTCTGGTCTTTCCTGTGTATTGGCGGCGAGTAGGGGTTTTCCCCTCAGTGGGCAGCCAGAGATCGCCTTTGCTGGATGTTGATCTAAGTGGCAGAAGGCCTCTTGGTTGACGAGTCCAAGTAGGGAAATCTGATCTTAGCCCAGCCTGGACACTACCCCTCCTGAGATGGCAGCCTCTCTCACTGTTGCACATGCACACAGCAGAGACAGTCTTCCCTTATTTCTCCTTGTGTATCTCCCCGGCCAGATGGCTCTCCCCAGACACTCTCTCCACAGTCCCCCATTTTGCTCCCTGCATGCACCCCTTTCAAGGATTTGCTGTCCCACTGTGGGTGGAGCCTCTTCAGGTAGCCAAGGGCAGCCCTGTGTCTGGACAGCTGTATTTGCCAGGATGGGAATGCAAGCCAGGGCACCATTTTCCAAGAATCCCACAACCAAACATTTCAAAAGCATTCACAATTCTTAGGAAGATAACGTATTACTGGAAGATGAAATCATATTATTATTGTTTTTCTCAATTACTACTCCAGAAATAAAATACGTATGGAATTTTTTTATAGTACAAAAATAGATCAGGATGTGGTCACATGGACATGTAGGTGTTTCATAATACTCATTAAATGCTCACTTCTCACTTAACATCCTCATAACTCATCTGATTATAACAAACTGAATCATATTATTGGTTAATTTTTCATAATGTCACACAGCTAACACCAGTATCTACCACATGTAGACATGGAAAGTGCTTTTATGTATAAAGTTATTAAATTCTCACAAAATTCCTTGAAATAGGTACTGTTATTTCCAGCATTATACAATATAGAACTCAAAGCCCGCAGAAGTCAAGTAACTTCCCAAAGTCACATAGTTAGTAAGATACTTTATTTCCCTAATAAATGATATTAATGAGTAACTCAAGAGTAGCTCATGTCATATATTGTATTTCCCTGCATCCCTACTGTGCTGGGCACTCAGGCCCTCAGTAAATATACAGTTATTGAGAGAAGAAATGTTTTATTTATATTTGATGCAATAAAGTGTTTCAGAAATGTTTTCATTATAAAAGAAAGTATTAATAGGCTACTGAGATTTAAAAAGCAAATCCACATAAGATAACCTAAAGTTAATTCTAAAAGACTTATCAGCCACTAACCTGGGTTCCAAAGATCCAAATATGAATAAAATGTTGCCTCTGTCCTTTAAGAACAAGAATTCTGAAGGAAAAGCAGATACATGAGCAATTAAATATTATAAACTATACTTTTAAAAAATCTTATATAATAAAAGCCTAATACGCTAAGTGTCTGGTCATCTGTTTAACCAATCAAAGAATAATATGCTAATGATATGCTAAGGCCACTCAACCTCTCGCTATGATGTGCACTGATCACCAGGGGGTAGATGCTCCAACTGGTAGGTTAGCTTGCTACTGAGGTCCAGCTGGTCAGGACTGAGTGGGATGGGCCAGACATGCCCCGGAGCCCTCGTGTGGTGGTGGTCCCACCTTGTCTGGCCAACCTCCCGCATCCTTCCCTAGCCCCAATTGTGCACTGCTGGAGTCCCTTAGCCTGGCATGCACTTTCTCACCATCTGGGACCCCTTGGGGGATGTCAGAGAGCTGGTTTTGGCTTGATCCCAAGGGCCAGACTGAGGGACCCCACTGGTGCATGAATTCATGCATTGTCCTTTAGTGTACATATAAAGTACTATGAGGCCACATGTTAAAAAAAAATATTAATTTTTCCAGTAGGATCATAAGTTTTTCTTCTCTTTAATTAGTAATGGGATGAAACACAGAAATAAACACTACATTTTTTCTATTAGAAAGTTTATTGCATTCATCTATAACACATTTTGTTGATATAAACAACGATGGAGGCTAATACTGATGAAAGTTATCATCTTAGGAGAAGAGATATTTTAACATTGAAAGCATTTTTTTTATTTACTAAAAATCAAGAAAACTTTATATAGTCTCATTTTTTTCCTTCAAAAAATTATATTGCTATTTGCTCACATCATAATGAAGCCTGGACTAAATACTAGACTGGAATAAGCAGATCCAGTGTTTGGATACTAATTTAAAGAGGACCTTAAAAGGGCAGTAAACATCTTTAGTTTATAAACAATCTTTAGTTAATAAACAATTGCCCATCCACACCATGTGATTCACACTTGTGTATCTATGTACATTTCCATGACATAAAGCCTTGAAGACCAAAATACCTCTTAAATACTTATTTTGAATAATAAAGACGTTACCCAGAGATAGAAAATTCGTTGTTTTACAAACTGTAACCTTAGCTCCACTTCTGTGGGGAGGGCCCGCGGTGGGCCTTGGTCACCACATCAGTGCTGGGCGTGCCTTGGGAAGACCAGGATGTTTGCTTGCAGGTGTCCTCGCACCACATGAAAATGAGGCCTGGAGAAGTCCTTATTGGTTAGATTCAATTAAAGACACCAGAGAAAACAATGGGGAGGGAGGTAGACTCTCAGTGACAGATTTAAGAATTCTAGAATACTCTGTGGCATTACCCAGACTCAACCCTTCCATCGGTTACAACTGCACATTGAATACTACGACAAGGACTGCTAACTCTAAATGACGAGGCCAAACTGAAGCTCTTTATAGACTAACAAAATGTAACAGTATTCGTTTTGAGTTTATATTTACAAATTTGGTTCTTGGAAGTCCTAGACTTTTTACTTCTGTGATTGCAGTACACAGAACATGTGCAACTTCTAAAATGTATCATGATTTTAAATTGAGAAGTGCACTAATTCAAAATAAGCAGCTGAGATTAATAGCACAAGAACATGCCTATGATAAAACCAATGGTCAGGGACATCTAGGAACCCTTTTTATGACCAATGTGTTAATTGTGTGGCATGCAGATGTGAATGAGTTGTAGGGTCAGTATTCTCTCCCCTCCCCTCTTCCTATAGTGGGATGAGAAAAGAAACAGGGTTTTGTTTTTTTGTTTGTTTGTTTGTTTTTTACTTATCTCCAGGGAGTAATGGAAAAACTCAAACTTACCATGGACATTTGAAGAGATGATCCTTAAAAAAATAAAGGGGGGGTTTTTGTCACTTTTTTTCTTACCAATAAGGACTCTTTATGGCTATTGACTAACAAGAGCCTCCAATAGATGCCTACCCCCTATCATTGCGCAAGAGTCAGGCAGTGGTTAACTGTGGGGATAAATCAATTCTTTCTAAGGTGTATTCCAGGTACGCCCATCTTTCCTTGAATTAACTTTGGGGTTCCCTAAAAGAAAGAGCCACCAAAGGAGTAAATGCTGTAAGTATGTTTGTTCTGTCATCCCTCAGACCAAACCGCCATCGCAGGTGCAGGTGTATGACGTGAAATCACCGGATTTCCCAGCTCAGTGGGGACAATGAGTACACGGGTACTACCGGCAGGACAGGTGCACAGTATATATTAGTTAACTGACGCCCTGAGACAAGACACCACACAGGGTGTGTTTAAAAGGTTGAAGACCAATGTGTTCTCTTATGAAGCTGCTTCCACTTCCAGCCTTCCAGCCCTTTGGCTTGCTCATGCAGGTCCAAGAAAGAGAAACTAACTTTCTGGCATTACACCGGCATTCTCATGAACAACTACCTTGGGGTGGAAATGTTAGTGCACACGGATCAGGATACACTGGATGAGCATCTGTTCTGGTTTGCCTGGAGCAGTCCAGATGGAAGCCCATTGCAGGATGATCACTGATAATGTCCACATTTGCTCTCAAAAGTGTCCCAGTTTGGATGATCACCCCAGTGAAGAGCAGTTTGTGGCACTCACTCAGGAACAAAAACTCCTCTTTACTCCCCCCACCCCCACCCCGTTTAACCAAGACTAAGAACCCACAGACCAAAGAAACTCCATTTTAGAATATTGAAAACCTTGTCTATTTCAATTATAAGTCATTCACCTATGGTTTTGTACTAGTTTAGTAATGACCAATTTTTAATATTGTATCAAAATTCCCTCCAAAAGAAAAAAAAAGCAATGCATTTAATATATTTGATTTGTATATTTCTATATAAAGAAATATACAAATTTCTTTGAATCAAAATTCCCTCCAAAAGAAAAAAAAAAAAGCAATGCATTTTTATCAAGCAAAAGATAAGTGGCAACAATACAAGAAACAACAGACATATAATATTTTTTCATTAACAATTCAAACACTATAAAATGTAGAATATACAACTTAAAAATGAAAATACAAATTAAAGAAAAATGGGATACATGTCATATTAGCAATGCAAAAGACCAGCTTAAGCATAGCCTCTCTAAATCAACAATTAATAAAAGAAAACAAAAACATTTCAGTCACTTGTAGGGAAAATTAATAAAAAAACTTTCTGCTAGTTCTCTATTACAGCATGTATTACTAATGGTTTACAAAACTGTCTTCATACACTTAAAATTTACACCCTTTCCCAATCACTCATTATGCATTCATTCAATCCAGTCTGTCAAAAATAAAATTATTCCATTTCCATATTTATGCAATAATTACTGATATGTTATGGATCTCAAGTGGTGAATGTGTATGATGGGGACAGTGATCAGAATAATGTCATGGATCTAACGTGGGCTGTGGGTCAAACACGGAGAAAAACCACCTCTGCCTGATACATATTTACTCCCATAATAACTCTAGTATTTCTAAAATAATTCTAAGTGTACATTTCTTCATTCTAAAAAAAAAAGGCTAAAGTTTTCATATTTAAATTTTCTACTTCTGCTAGGGTTTTATTCAATCTATCCAGTTATGCCACTTGACAGAATGTTTTCTCCTGGGTTCATGTTACTCCTACAATTCTGAGTCCAACTTAAAAAACAAAACCAAACAAAAACACACACACACACCCAAATAATCAGGACTCAATAATATGCCCCTTTCTTCTACATATTTAGTGATTCACACTAAATTTTATGGCAAACTGCACAAGCCTAGGTACAGATCTATAATGCGAATGAGAAAGAAAATCTTCAAACTTTAGTTTTTCAAACAGTCATACCCATGTCTACTGCAACCCACGTCGCTGAAGGAGTTCTGCAAGTTCATGCTCATAGCCAAGGTTTTACAGGAAGTCATGCTTCAGGGGCGCAGTTCTAAAACTAACAAGAATGGAGAATCACAGGGTATCTCCTGCCCAGCCACCCGTACCCAGGGACCTACCATCAGTCAGCCTCAGCTCTGAGCTTTCTGGGTTATGCCCAGTAACTGCCTACCAAGTTGATTAACATTCACATAAGGTGGCAACTTGAGGATGGAGAAGAACTGAACTGCAGTTCTGGAAAGGGTTCCAGCGGCTACAGAAGGTCCTTTGGTGTCATTCACTGCTGCTGCTGCTGCTGCCGCTGCTGCCTCCGTCCTCTCGCGTGGGGGAGGGTGAACTGTCTCGGACTGGCAGCAGGTCATAATGGCAAGGGATGTGACTGTTCTTTGGCAGGTCGTATGGGTCCTGGGTCAGAGGCCCGTTATTGCTGAATATTCCTTGGACAACACTCACTGTAGGTTCTGTGACAACCAGGGACACGTTAATTTATTGGCAATAAAAAATTAATAAATTGATCATGGGATTTCTTGGAAATGGCAAATAAGAAAATATTATTTTTAAAAACAAACGATCCTTTTATAATCACAGACATGGTTACTCTGTGGGTGGTAGACCCACGGATGCCCACAAATGGTGCTCAGAACCAAAGGATGACTGTATGATTGGGGTCAAGACATCCAGGGAATAGACAGAAATCCTGGATATGAATCATTGTCTGAAAAACCTGGGAAATAAGCTAGTGCAAACCCCTCACCCTACAGATAAGAAGACTGAGGTCCTTAGAAGTTAACTCGGTTCATGGAAACTTAAGTTGAGTTCCAATCTTACGATGGTAAGTTTACAGGGACAGTGCAAAGGGGACTGGTTACTGACCTTTCTATAACAATTTTGTTCACGACGCCTTCCATTTTAAAAAGCTGTCTTAATACTTTTAAAATAGTTATATATCTATAGTGACATGTCTATAGCATGAAATGAATCACTAGCGACTAGAGTTAAATTAGTCACTTCATTTACAAGTAGTAGAGAATTTTTTAAAGTTTAAATCATAAGTACTGATACAGATAGAGAATAAGAAAAATTAAATTATATAGCCCTATTATCTAGCTAGTGATAGCACTGATATGTTTTAACTTTCCCCAAATTGCACTTGCAAGAGGCAATCAAAGTATCTCTAACTTTAAATTGAATTCTTATTAATTTGTACCAGACTCACAGTTTAGACTCTTACTGATATATTAGACACATTTAAAAGTAAAATGTTTTAATCCTGCTAAAAGCATTATATTATATTAATATAATGAATGCAACCAGGAATTGGAACCACCTGTTTAATCTAGTGGAACCATTTGTTTTGGCCAAGTTGACACATTAGCTAATATGATACATATGCTATTCCACAAGTAGGCTAAAATATTCACTATGGTTACAAAACAAAAGATGGATGACCAGGTGGGAGATAAGGAAAACTTCCTTTAAATTTTCTAAATGGTGTTTCCCTGAATAAATTATACGACATCAATTAATATGATCATGGTAGACACAGCTTACATTTAAAATATGGGCCATTATTTCTAATAATGTTTGTATGAAATGCTGTTGTATTCTCAAAGACTTTGAAAGTTTTGTTTTGCTTTTTAAATTCCCATACCAGGTTCTTTCTTAGGTTAGGAGACTCACCAACTTCATAGACATTCTTGTTGGCTGAAGTTGAGTTATTGATCTCTGCATATGGGGAATCTCTCCGTGCTGGTGACTTCATCTCCACATAGCCACACTCCGAGTTCTTGGGGAGAAGTACAGGCGGATCTTTAATAGTCGCATATGGGTTTTCAGAACTGCTTAGGGAGCAGTTACTTGAATTATATTCAGAATTCTTTCCCAAGTCTGTAAAGAGAAATAGCAGGGAAAAAGCAAATGCTATTACATGAACGTTATTTTTAAAATTTTATTTTGCAATTACAGTTTACATTCAATATTATTTTGTAGTAGTTTCAGGTGTACTGAACAATGTTAATTTTTTTTCCTTGGTGATAATTTACTTGGACAATTTTTAATTTTTAAAATTATTATTACAGAGAGAGGGAGAAAGACAGAGAGAGAAAGAGAGAGACATTGCTGTGAGAGAGAAACGTCAACCAGTTGCCTCCCACAGGCACCCTGACCAGGGATCAAACTTAGAACCTGGGTATGTGCCCTAACAAGACTTGAACACGCCACCTGTTTGGTATGGGATGATGCTCCAACCAATGGAGCCACACCGGCCAGGACTGGGCAGTTTTTCTTTCTTTTCTTTTCTTTTAAAAAAAAAATATATTTTATTGATTTTTTTGCCCCCCTCCCTCCCTCCAACACATACCCTCCCTCCCCAGAGTTTTATGTCCATTGGTTGTACTTATATGCATGTACACAAGTCCTTCAGTTGATCTATTATATTATCTCCCCCAGATCTCCCTCCCCTCCCCACTGTAATTTGACAGTCGGGCAGTTTTTCTTTCTAGCTAGTTTTCTGAATTATATACACTGAAAATAATACTAAATGTTTTTCACTTATTTTGGAGAGAATTTTCAATAAAATTACTAAGGTGAATGCCAATACAAACATCATGGATTTGATTTCATTTTGATTATTACACTCAAATAAAATGAATTCCATTCTATTTTACTAAGTCTCCAAATTCTCAAAGGCTTTAATTGGGAAACCATTTTGCTGATTAACTCAGGAACACAAGAAGGTTCTATTATCACGGTGAAGAAAGCATTTGTGCTGTGTGGATTTCTTGTAAAACCTCAGTACTGGGCACCTGAAGTTATTACTCAAATTCTTTCTGAAGAGCAGGCCTCAGTGAACACAGAACCATGCTGATCTCTTCCTTTTCCCCCTGCTATTTCCTTTTCTCCCCCATAAGCCATACTTCTTTTGAGGGAAATATGAGTGCTTCCCCAGCAAAGAGAAACCTGCACTTCCCCAGACTTCTGCTCTAACTGATCCACCTGTGGTCACTGTCTTGATGTCAGTTAAACATGGTTGTGTGTTTGTGGAATGAAGACAGCAAGTCTACATTTCTCCTACACTGACACTCTTGTGCATGTGGCAAATTACTACGGTCTCTGAGATGTATTTTTTAAATTATGATTTTGATAAATGTATTTCTTCCTCAAATCCACACCATACCTTTTAAGGATTTCCCCATATAACTTCTGTCAAGTCCAAAAGCACCTGTGGTAAAGAAAGAAAAGAAATACCCAGTGAGAACTGAAAGCAAGAGAGAGCTCATGTACTACTTCAAGGTCACGGAGGAAGATGGCGGGGCACCGGCTGCCTTCCCTTTGCAGACCACCAAGGCTGCTGCTTTTCACACCTTTACTCCAGGTCTCCCATGCTGGTTACCCTAGCCCTAAGAATTAAAAATACACGCGTGTCATTCTGATCATTCTCCTGCTCATTTACACTGACTTGGGAAAGGCGGATTGATTCAGGGTAGCAGCTGAGGCACAGACAAACGAGTCCACTTTATTCAAGGTTGCACTTTCAGACAAGCTCTCCACAACATTTCCATCATTGAACCACCGACACACTTCATCATCAGCAATGCGCCTTACTCTGTTCTTCTTAAGAGAAGGCTTTTACGTGTAACAACTTTAAAAGTACAATGAGCCAAAACCAGTTTGGCTCAGTGGATAGAGCGTCGCAAGTCCCAGGTTCGATTCCGCTCAAGGGCATGTACACTGGTTGCTGGCACATCCCCAATGGATTGAAAAAGTGTTAAAGAATGACACTCTTCTAGTGCAGGAGGCAGCTGATCGATGTTTCTCTCCCATCGATGTTTCTAGCTCTCTATTCCTCTCCCTTCCTCTCTGTAAAAAAAATCAGTAAAATATATTTAAAAAATAAAAATAAACAAAAGTACATGGAATGCAAAATTATTCTTGGAATGGAACAAACCAAGAAGATCCAGAATTTACAATGGAAACTTCATGTGCCTTGGGTCTCACTGAGACAAAAAGCAGAAGTCTATTTGTGACCATTGCAATGACTGTGTGTTCTGGAGTCAGAACAAATCACATTGGGAAACGTGGAACAAGAGGACTTTTCCCTTAGGAGGACCTGGTGGCATTTTACTGAATATCAATTTCATGTAATTGAGACTTCTTACAAACCTCCCTAATGTTAACTAAACTCTCCAATAAGTGTGTTATAAATAAGTATACTGCAAGAATATCTTAGAAACAATTTTACTGTGCATGGGTAGAAATACACATCTCATAGATAATATTGGTGTAGAATGCAGATAAAAGCTAAAAATGTAAGCTCGTTTTGCTTTTCAAACATTTGCATTTCTGAAGTAATAGGGGACTTTAGAGCCCACAGGGATTGGTCCTGACATCTGGCTTGGGTGACTGAGCATACATGGTGTTCACAGAAAGATCAGAGGGGGCGCAGTCAAAGCCCAACTGTAAGCCTACTTTCCCCCTTCCTCCCATGGAGCTTTCCCCCTTCCTCCTCTGGCATCTTGGGCAGGAGGTTGACCTCTCCGTGCTTCCCAGTTTTCCCTTCTCTACCAAACAATATTCAGAAGGGCCAATATCCAGGAGGGGGGTCAGATTTAGCAAATAAAAACACAGGAAGGCCAGGTAAATTGGATTTCAGAGAAACAACAAGTGGTTTTTAGTATAAGTATGTCCCATGCCCTATATATTTGGGATATATTTACATGAAAAATATTTGTTGCTTATTTGAGACTCAAATTTAACTGCACTCTGTGGCAACCTTACCAGCGAATAAACACACATGAAAGGGTTTGATAACCATAAGGTGCCATGCACATCAGTTACTATATCACCAAGCTTCTCCTTAGAAACAAGGAGCACATGCTTGGAAGGTCACCACCTACTCCATGGGCATCCCGGCAGCTCTTTACGTGCGGTCCAGGGTCCTCCCTGCCTTTGCAAGAGGGCCGTGTGGCCAAAGCTTTTCTTATAATACTACAGCCACACTGTTTGCCTTTTCTACTCTCCTTCTCTCTCAAGTCTGTAGCTGAGTTTTCCAGGAACCACACCAAGTGTGAGATCACTGCTGCCTGAATGCAGCAGCAGAACGAAAATCTAGCTGACCTTCACTCAGCCGGACATTAAAGGGACTGACAAAAGTGTTAAAGAATGACACTCTTCTCGCTCTTTTGGGGGGAAAACTTAGTAATTTTCCATAAAATGCATCTGAAGTTATGAAATGAGATCATTATGATAAATTAATAAATAACTACTTTAAGTGTTTTTGTTTAATTTATAATATGGTAAGTGTCAGTGGATATAACCTATATCAATAGAAATTCTTTGGGGCCATTGATAGCTTTGGAGAGTGTGTGAAAGGGTCCTGACTCCAAAACACCTGAGAACCACTGATTTATGATACTCCTGTTGATATCTCCATTTCCTCACCTCCCAGGGCCATGGTCGGCAAACTGCGGCTCTCGAACCACATGCAGTTCTTTGGCCCCTTGAGTGTGGCTCTTCCACAAAATACCACTGCCTGGGCAAGTCTATTTTGAAGAAGTGGCATTAGAAGAAGTTTAAGTTTAAAAAATTTGGCTCTCAAAAGAAATTTCAATCGTTGTACTGTTGATATTTGGCTCTGTTGACTAATGAGTTTGCCGACCACTGTCCCAGGGGAACAAAGGGGAGCCCACAACCTGGTACCCAGCTGAATAGGGTTAACTCCCAGTTCTACCTCTTAGTAGGGGTTTGAGACTTCACACAAGTTACTTAACCTTTGAAGACTCAGCTTCTTAAGTGTAACATGGAGATGCTGCTGCTGATAATAATTCCTACCTGTTATAAAGCCTAGAGAATTAAGTCAGTTACTACAGAGAGAGTTGGGATGACAGCCACAAGCAGGCAGAGGTCCTCATCTCACTTGATCATTCCTGGCACATAGCAGAAACGCAATGAATGGTGAATGAATAAGGCACTTGGGACAGTCCTCAGCCCCCTATGGTCAATGAGTCTGTCTTTCACGCACGTTTCTAAGAGGAAAACCTCTGACTATCTGAGGTGACCAGAAGGTGAAGGTGCTCATTGGGGACGGGAGTCGGGGGAATCACCGAGCTCGTTGAGGTAGCCGCCGTGCTTCCAGTCCGCGGGCAGTGTGCCCGTGCAGTCCACCACTGGGCCTCTCTTCCCAGGATTCACATTCTTCAGGTTCACAAACAGCTGATTGTTTTTCGACTATTAAAAACATAAACCACAAAAGACGTAAAAACAGGATCTAATGTGGCACTGCACAATGCTACGGGTCTGGGGAAGCAAGTCCATGGCATACCACGGCCAGTCCTTGAACGAGGCCGGGGGAAGGGGCAGAGGTGACCCTGTCTGACCTGGCGGGACACCGAGGCGGCAGGTGCCTATGTCCCTTGGCCCCAACTTTCCCCCCACTGCCTCAGCTTCTCGATTTCATGCTGTTACTCCGTGCCAATCAGGCCTTATTTGGGTTTACATACATGGAACTTTACATTGAAAAAACCCCCCACAAATTCCTAGTCGGAGCTCTCCCAACCAACACTGTGTGATCTTGTAAGAGTCACAGTGACTCTCAGCAGTTTTCCGAGCTATAAATATGAGGATAAGATCATCTGCTTTGCCTCCCTCCCTGAATGTGAATGAGAACAAATGGAATGCTGAATACGGAAGTCTCTGGGGAACGGGAAGTGCTCTTTAACTACGAGGCACTATAATTAAAATCCAGCTGCATTAACTTAATTGCAACTGAATTAATTTTATTAGCTTGGTTGTCTTCTAAGAGAGAGCTGGAATTAGACAACGGAGACTGGAAATATAATTCGGGTACAACTGGGAGGGAGGCATGTTGGGGATTTCAGGGGATGTGGAAGGGACCTGGGGCGTCCTACAGGAAGTGGCTCGGGTTCTAGGCAGCCCTGGCTCTTCAACCTCCCTGCCGCCAAGTGGGGATAATAACGACGCTTGCTTCGTAGGATTGGCCTAAAGACTAAACGAGCTTCTGTCTGTAAAATAATTAGAAATGCTTGGCACATTGTTTCTGTTTGATCCCTTTGACCTACAAAAATGCAGTGTGGTTCGACCTATATACATACATATCATTGTTGTTGTTGCTGTTGTTATGAAAGTACAAGTGGCCAGGAAAGTGCCCTAGGAGACAGGTGATCAGAAAAGACAAACTTGGCAATATTACCCAGGACTGAGTCTGCTATATTCTGCTATGAGACATTATTTTAAAACCTCACCCAATATTAGAAACATTTTTTCCAAAGGGGAGCGATGGAAACAGTACAAACTGCAGAGACAGGCAGACTTTGCCTCACATCACAGCTGCCTCACCCACTGGCTGGGGAGCTGTGTGTGGAAGTGACTCAAAGTCCCCATTCCTCGGGGTTACTTAGCGGGATAAGCACTTACAGGGCCGTTTAGAGAGATAAAGGAGACAATAGATAGAAAGTATCTATCAATAGAACAGCATGGCACACAGAGCCCTCCATACCTGCGTGTCCTCTCTCCCCTGCCTACCCTCACCGACCGGAGCCATTGCCTCTCACCTTGGCGATGGTCATCCTGTCCCTGTTGTTGACCCGAGGGGACGCGGCACACTGTGTGAGCGTGTGGTAGCTGGGGTTGGTGAAGTAATGGCTGTTAGCATTCCCTCCACTGCCGTGAGGAAGGGTTTCTGCAAGGAAAGGAGGAGACAGTGAAGGTGGCAGGCTCCCCTAACCCTGGGTGGCAAAAAGGGAAGCAGACTCTGTAATGGGAACATATGTTTGGGCCGCTTCCATACTGCAAATTGGGTGGAGTACGCTCCTACCCAGCTAAGCTCCCGGAAGCAGCAGGAGTCTGACTTCTTACCAGCCTCCTTGAAAAATGTGAAATATCTGCAGATATGGCTGGGAAGGCACCGCTTTGAAGTTATTTCTGCTGTTATTTTCCTCTTTTTAAAAAAAACACCTGAGTCCTTAACACGATATTCTGTACTACAGTATTCTGTATGGCTAGTTTATGCATTCCCCCACAATCAGTGTATTTACAGTCATGTGACACCCCGCCAAAATCCTCAGCAATTGCCTACCAATGAATGCATATTTTAAGTTTCCAAATTCCTCTGTTTAAGTGGTTATTTCTTCTGATGATTGAGCATGTCACCTAAAAGTTTACTTTGATGAGGAGTTTTGACGGAAAGGAAGACTTAAGAGTTTTCTCAAGGAAATGCCACGGTTCTTGTTAAAACCAAAAATCTGTTTCTGCTGTAACTTGGCTGCTGTGCAGTTAAGGATTTGTGTGGGGACGGGCTGGAAGGAACTGCGGGAACAACCCAAAGCGAGAGACAGTGGACCTGTCCCTAGTTGCTGGCCTGCTCCAGGCCTTGGTGACGTTACAGCCACCCCCTTTCCCTTCCCTGTCCCCACAGAGGGCAAAACCTTGGGACTCGTTACCCAGTAAAGCTTTTCCCAGGTTGAAATGCCCAAAGTCTAAAGCAATCACACAGAAGACAACAGTAATGATATTACCACTGTTGACATATAGAACACGTCCTGAACAACGAATCTTTTCCAAACATAACATTTCTTCAAGGCTGCCTGACCATAACAATGGACAGCACACTCAAACACCCAGTTTCAAAGAACCAGGTAAGAAAACCGCACTTTTCAAGGAGAACAAGGCCTCTGAGGACCCCAGTCTCACCAGAAATGGCATAGTCTCCGTTCATGACCCTCATGGCAGGGGTGTAGGTCACGGCCGGCATGCTCGACTCCTTCCCCTTCTGCTTGTGTCTGTAGATAATGAACAAGGCCAAAAGGAAGAGGACGACCAGGACGAGGATGATGATGCCAGCGATGGCCCCGATCTGGTAGGAGTCAGCAGGAAGAGCCGTGCTGGTTCTGCTTAAGCTGTTCAGATTCCCAACTATGATAACACCCGCTAGAAAAGAGAAAAGGAGATTTGAATAAGGATGACAACGTGCTGTGTAAATGCTTGAGCTCTACTTACAAACATCTCCCATTGTGCTAAGACCAAGATATTTTTAGCTCATAAGATGTTAATTTGGAAACAAAGTGGGAGAGGAAAACAAAAGTTCCTCATTTTCAGATGTTGTTGGCTGGTCTGTGCCCAGAAGAAGGCAGCTCTAAACTTAAAAAAAAAAAAAGGCAGAAGTTCCTGAACCCCAAAATTCAATAGTAGGATTTGGGAGCTTCTCACCTATTTCAGTTTAAACACATTGGTGATTAATTGGGAGTGGCGCTTCATACATTTTTTTATTGTGCTTTATTTATTATACAGTATTAAGGTTATGAAGGGCTAGCTCCTAAATGTCTCAACTAACTTAATCTTATGTCTATCATTAGCATTTTTAACAGTAATTTTTCCTTCCAAGCAAGAATAACTCCATTTTAAACCTAGTCCAAGATCAGAACCTGCCTTATCCTGATTTCAATGGGCTTTTATTTCAGAAAATACTACTTATGCAGTTCTTTTCTATGACAGAAAGGTCTGTCCCAGTAATACCTGATAACATCACCCTACAACCATACTCATAATTCAAAACTCAAGTTTTCCACAACCCTTCCTCTTCTTTCATCAAGTGAAGCACTAAAGGTATGTATTCAGGGTTGAGAAACTGGCATCTGAAACACTTGACCCTGATATTCAGCTTTCCTCTAAGCTCTTCCACTGCAGCTTCGTCATCTGAAAATGAGGAAACTGGTCTCCCTGAAGGTGCTCCCAGCTCTAATGTCCCTGTGACTTTATGAGGCCAAATGCCAGACCTCCTGATGAGACAGTCTGCCCCGGAACACAGAGCGCCAAGGACCAGTGTGGTGTGACTACAGCGCATCTGTAATGATGTGACTGTGGAACATAGCATCCTTCGTTAGGACAGTCAGACATAAATCACGATCATGCAACCGATATTGTAGGAGAGAAATGAACTGAGTACCTACACAATCTGGTGCAAGATGACTTCATCCACCATACCGTATGAATTCTAAAGCCTTTACACCCATGAGCGCATTATATTATTTACCAACGGAAGGGCACTGCCTGCAGTAAGAACTCTCTGGAGGCCATGCTTCAGAACCGCAAGGAGCACTTTCTCAAAAGCCCCATTCACCCTAGAATCAGATTGGCCAAGTGGGACACTGCATACAAATACCCCAAGAGGATTATGACACACACCTTAGTTAAAAACCATGAGCAAGTGTTTCTTAACAAGCTAAACATATGCCTACCACATGACCCAATCACACTCCACTCCTACTAATTTACTCATGAGAAATAAAAGCATACTAGTATGTCCCTATTAAAAAAACTTGATACACTATTGTACACAGAAGCTTTATCTGTAATAGCCCCAAACCGGAAACAATCTGAAAGTCCACCAACAGGTGAATGGGCAAGGAAATGATGGAGTATTCCATGCAATAGAATACTGCTCAGCAGTAAAAACAATTGAACCACTGACACACACCACCACACGGTTTAATTTTAAAATACTTATGCCGAGTAAACAAAATTAGACAAAAATGTACAATATGATCCCATTTATATGAAGTTCTAAGAACTGCACTAGTCTATAGAGACAGAAAGTAGATGGGGCTAGGGAGTAGTGCTAGAAAGGAACGACATGATGAAAGTTTTGGAAGGGAAGGATACTCATTCTCTTTATTGTGGTAATGGTTTCATGGATGTATGCATGTCAGATTTTTATCAAATTGTATACTCTGTGTTACTGTACATATATTGTATATATGTATTGCTTTTTATAGGTTAATCATACCTCAGTAAGACTGAAAAAAAAAGTTGCAGGTGCAATGGAAAGTTCATGAGCTTTGGAAATCTGGCATCAAAGCCCTGACATGTTCTGTAGCAGCTGCATGACCTTGGGCCCATTACTTAACCTCTCTGAGCTTTAGTTTTTTCATCTGCAGGACAGCAACAATAAGGCATCCACCTGGCAACTACATGAATGGCCAGCTATGCTTTGCAGTCATAGGGAGGATTATATCAGAGCACACAGGCGAAAATACTTCATGTCGGGTGCATGGCGGTCACACCATACGAGGTGATGGTTATTCTTTATCCTTACCTTGATCGCACCGCGCCCCCTTCCACCCTGGGCTGCAGTAACAGGTCCCAGTGATGTGGTCGCAGGTGGAGTTGTTGAGGCAGTCACATATCTGGCGACAGCCGTAGCCATAGGTCCCTGCAGGACACTCTGAGAAGGAAGTGAAAGTCCCGTTCAGCCCTGGGAACCTGGGGCAAGGCTGTCTCTTACTGTGTGACCCTGAGTGTCTGGAGGCCACCCCTCTCAGGGATCCCTGTTCAGGCCGACTTGTACCACCCAACGTGCCTGAGAGCTGGCCAGCTTTCATGGTGTGACTCACAGGCCAGGAGACACAGTGTCTCCTCATCACAGCCCCTCATCACAGTTCCTGAGACTTTCAGCTTCCATGTACCCCCCTCCTGGATGGGTAGGCACAGAGCCTGTGGAATCCAACAGAACTGACTAAGGACAACCTGAGGTGACTCCACCAACAAAGCTATGGGATGGAAGGAGACCAGACTGAAAAGTATAAATGAGAGATGCTCCCTTGAGAACAAGTATATCTTAACACAGGCTCAGGGATCCTCCCAATGGCATATTCTGACTTGAATTAGCTAGCAGAAGGGGAAAAGTGGGGGGCAAGTTTTGTTAATTTTTTAGGTAAGAACTTCATTTACCAAAGAATGGCTCAAAATTTGGATTTGCAGGTGAAAGGTTGAAAGACTGAAGTAGTGGGATTTTTATGATGTAGTCTTACTAAGTTTGGGCATGAATTTCAAAGATGAGCATAGGCATGTTAAATCTAAAAACCATCATGACAAACTAGTGATTCTTTTGTAGAGCGAACAGCAGGGGGCAATGTGCTACTATTATCAGAGTTCTCTGTCCAGCTCAGGGTTTTTGTTTATAAATTTGTCATTCAGAATAATCATGGAAGCACTTAATAAGAGTGGTTAGAGTCTGCCATTCAAGCGAAAGTCAGTTTGGAGCTTATTCTGGTTTCTACACATATACAGGGGTGGGCAAAAGTAGGCTTCCAGTTGTTCAAATAGAAGATCACACAATAATTAATAAATAATAATAGAAGAATAAACTGTGTTTCATGTACTCACACCTGTAAACCTACTTTGACCCATCCCTGTATGCATATGCACATACATTTAGACATTTGAACAAATGCGCACAATAATCGTATATACCAAGAGGTGTGCAGGTAATTCTGTGACTCGGTATCTGTCTCATGATTTAAATGAACTAGCAGAGCAAAACTAAAATCAGGCCTTCTCTGTCCAGCTGCTCCTTGGACATCATTCTTGTAATATTTGCTAGGTAGACGGATATGCACACATATTCTAAGGTTTAGCATGTTACTGGGCTGCCCTGTGGTGCTGGGACGTGCTGGTAGGGTGGTGGAGGCCAACGCTTTAGTGCCAAAATCCTCCTATGCTGCTTTATTGCATCCTATGCTGATCAGTCTTTCCAAGTCACATGGCTCCTGCAGGCCTCTCATCTTTGCTTCATCCTTCCCAAGGCTGCTCCCTCTGGTGAGCAGGAATCTCCTGCTTCTTTTCCTGCCAGTACCATTGTAAAGTGAGACCCACACAGCTCTGAGTACTAGTATTTATTTATTCCTTGTAAATACCAAAAGTCACAGAGGAAAAGAATAGTGAACTAATCTGAAAGGCTCAGTCTGAGACTAAATATTCCCAAAACCCAGTGAGGAAATGCAGAGCTGGCGGGGCAGAAATGGGAAACCCAGGGTGGGTAATTCCAACAGAGCACAGTTTCCCAGGATGAGAGAAATTTTAGAACAAAATTTTAAGGCGACATGTTGTCTTGAAGGTTGTTAAGGCAAAGATAAGAAGTTGTTAGTAGAAACAGTGTAAAACCTTCCTAAATGCGATTGTCAGATGGGTGGCCATGTCTGCACAGGCTTGTTCGCTCACCCAGAGTGGGCTGGCCCTGGGCACCCAGCCCTCCGCCTCCCGCACACCCAGCCCGGCCCACTGACTGCAACCTCCTTCCGTGAGAGACCCCAGCTCTGCCTTTGCCATAAAGAAAGCTTGACTGGCTCTTTTAAAGCTCTGAGCATCCACGTTCCAAAAATAAGAAGAGTGGAAGAGGGAGCCAGGATGAAGAGATGGAAAACTTGAATTTTGTCTTCAGTCTTGGAGCTACACCCCTCCACCCAGAGCAATGAGGAATTACTCAGAAGAAGAATTTTGAGGAAAAAAGCAGCAAAGATCCCAAGGTGACCAGGTCTTGGAAGGGAAATAAACCGTGCTGGTGTCCAGCAATCAGCTGAAAAAACGTCAAATACCTTCAGGTATTAGGAAAAGTAAATTCAGGAGGTAGGGGTGGGCAGACCGCCTAGAGATGCGGTGTTCTCGTACTCACTCTGCTCGCAGTGCTTCCCCATGAACCCGGTGCGGCAGGTGCACTGCCCGGAGATGTGGTCGCAGTCGGCTCCGTTCTGGCACTGGCATGTCAGCGCACAGTCTTTCCCGTAAAACCCCAGGGGACAGCCTGTGCGAGGAGGAAGGACAGCTGGAGTCAAGAGGCTGCCGAGGAGAAGCACCGCTCTCGCCTCCAACATTTTAAAGACGTTGAGCCACCAGAGAGTGAGTCAAGACAGTAACACGTGAGTCAGCTTGTCACAAAGCCTTCTTTGAAGTCCCAGGAAGGGGTCTTGTGAGGAGGGTGGTATTCTCATGCAGGAGCCAGTTCCACACTTGGCAGGTGACCCATCACTGGTACCCTGGAGGCAAGACTGGTGTCTTCGAACAAGGCATCCTCAACCCTGCAGAGGTCTGGGCGTTTCCTTTCATTCTTTCATGAAACTATAAGAATCCCGGACTCCAATTCCATAGACTGAAATGAGTACTTTATATAAAAACAATCTGATGCTTTTTACTTTGGGTACAGAATGTCTGCAACTCTGACACCTGTCCACTGTATGTGTTCCTCACTTAGGTTATATGATCTCCTTCACTGAAGATATGTGGAAAATGATGAACTTAAGCATCCCTGCACATTGCAGGTGCTTTACAACAAAGCCATTTGCCTTCCCACTACAGCACAATTTTCAAGACCCAGAAACTCTTCCACAGCCCTCCTGGCTTCAGTGGGCCGGCAGCAAGAGAGTTTCAGGGCTCTGAGAATCAAGAAAGCTTCAACACTGGCTGGTTCCATGGTTGTTTCCAAGCATCACATGTGCCTTTTATTTCCCCCTTTTTTACAGGGAAGTTTTAAGGAAGCCTCTGCTTTCAGGACACAGAGGCAGACACAGCTGCTGGAATGCAGTGACAGCTCCCGTGGCCATTGTACCCATTTAGCACCCACCCTGTGCCAGATCTTCTCACTCACCCTCACTGAATCCTCACAGGAGTCCAGAAACGCAGGATGGATAATATCACCCTGCATGTGGGAACCACGCCCTGAGTGCACACAGCCAGCAAATGGCAGGATGGCGGGTGACAATGCAAAACGCAGGGAGGTCTGGCTCTAGACCCCATTGCTCTTCCCACTGCTCTGTGATGTAGCCACTTAAAAGCTCCTCTTCCTGAGGCAGGTCCTGATTTTGGAATTATAAATAACAACTTGCAAGGTATTTTCCCTAAGGAGCTCAAAAATTTTTCTGTGTATATATACAATCTCAGCAGAATATGCCTGGGACAGCCTTCCTCCTTGCCAATTCTCCTTTTCAAATTATGGCTCACGGTCTATACTCCTTTTTAGAAAGTTCCAAAAGGCTTGTTCAGCCCATTCTTTGTGTTCTCTAATTAGTATTAAACCAATGTTGCTTAATCTCTGGCTCATCTCTCTTCGTCTGCTCACTTCTGCAATTTAAAATTATGTACTAGTATTAATGATAATCATAATCCATACCTTCCTGTCTTCTCTCCTTCATTCAATTAAAGGCAAGAGGGTAGAGACTAGTCTTTTGTCCCCCAACAGTGCCAAGATGGGGAGTACTTTGCGTCACATTATAACCTATGACGCTAATGATCTTAGAGAAGAAGAAATGGTCAGGACACTGTGGGATACAAAATGGAAAAAACAACTAGTGATTCTTAAAGCACAATCCCAGACTGGCATCACCATCTGGGAAGTTGTTAGACGTGTGAGTGCTCTGGTGCCCGTCCAGCCCTACTGGATCAGACACGCTGGGAGCGGGGCCAGCTGACTGAGCCGTCGGGTGGCTGGGAAGCTCGCTCAAGTTCGAGAGCCATGGAACTCGATCTTCTCCAAGAGCACAGAGTACGGCAGGCGGAGGCTTGTCACCTTCACTCCCTTTTTAATCGCTGTCACCTACTCTAACCATGTGCGTTTAGAATATATGAAAGGGCGTTTGAGCCATATAAACAGGGTCTGTTTAAAGAGGAGAAAGAGACTGCCCCAACAAAATCTAATATAGCAAGCACTGCTCCACCTCATGGCCCTGAGATGACACAGAGACAGGAAACCTGGGACATGGCATCTCTTAACCACATAGTGAGATGTTGAGAGGTCGTTGGGTAGACCGAGCACTCGAATGCCCGGAGAGCTCATGGGTGCACAGGGAAAGGCTGTGTCCTCCTGGGTGGGCTCCCCTGGGGTTCGGGAGGCTGGCTGCTTACGCTGCGTGCAGTAGAGCCCCGTCCAGCCAGGAGTGCACTTGCATTCCCCGTCGTAGGCGCTGCAGAAGGCCCCGTTGTGGCAGTTGCACGTGTGGATGCAGTTCGGGCCCCAGTGGGCGGGTGGACAAGCTGAAAGCACAGCACGCGTGGAGAGCTCTGTGAGATCGAGGCCAGCACCCTGCAGAGAAGGTTTCAACACTCCCCCAACCTTCCCCCAACACACACTCCTCCTTGCACATGAGAGGTTAGCAGTGTGCACCAGGACTGGGAAAGCACGCTGCTCCACACATAAGGCCCAGATGGCAATGCTGACCGTGACAGCAACCAGCACCACTGACAGAGGAATTCATTCACAGACCACAGAGCAGAGCAGGAATCAACTCAAGGTCACAGATTTCATTATTTAACAAGTACACTGAGCATCTCTGTGCCCAGCACTGTTTGGGGAATGAAGGTGATAGCAGAGAACGAGAAAGGCTATGCTCCAGAAGCTTCGTTTAGTAGGGGAGGCAGGCAAATCAACCAGCCAACCCAAAACCGGAGGTGATAAGATGAAAATAATTAAACAGGTTAAGGGGATGAGAATGGTAGAGCTGCTTCTTTAAGGAGGGGCTCTCTGAAGAGAGGCTGCTGAGCAGAGATCAGATAGAAAACGGATGTGACTTGAGAGAGGTGAGAGACCAGGGCCATGTAATTTTTGTCATTGACCTTGGAAGCTGGTGCTTGTCAGCCTGTTCCAGAGTTGTCCTCACAAGGGGCTTGTTTTACACGTTACGGTGCCCCGTTGTAGGTAAGAATTGTTTTACTTGTAAAATCTCTTACTTAGAAAGAGCAGAAAATAATAAAACTAAATCTTCAGTTAACTTAGATTCAATATAAAACAGATTTTTAAACTCTTAGAGTTGAAAAAATGAAACTAAATTTTAGGGGGTCATTGATCATTGAAGGGCCACCAGAACCTCAAAGTATCTGAGAAATAACAATGTAAGGTGATGGGGTAAAATGATTTATTTACAAAAAAACACCAAAAAAACAAACAAAACCAAAAACAAACAAAAACAAAAAACAGCAACCAAACAATCTTTTTACTCATGCAAACACTTAAAGAACATAACTGCTTCAAAGGGGGACCATCTATAATTTCTATATGGCTATCCAGTAGGAAATATGGCCCAAAAGACAATAAATAAATCTGAAGTAATTTTTAAAAACGAAGAAAGTCTCCCATAATTGTGTGACCATTCACACTCCCCTCCCCTCCCCCCCAAGAGCAAGGGAAAAAGAGGATCTCCCACTTGAGGTCTGGAGTGAATCTTAGCACAGATTTTCTGAGTACATGATGCCCATTTTACAGATGAAGAATCATTGAAAAGTAAATAAGCAAAAAATGCCATTTATTTAGGTCCCTTTCAAGACATTATTTAGATTTAAATATAGCACCACTGCACAGAGCTCTTAAAGGCAAAACAAAGCCAATTAAACTAATTATTCATATAGTTTGCCTGATTAGATAACAACTCATACTTCAACCCTAAAGAGTTTGAAAACAAACAAATAATAAATAGTTGATCAGTTCTTCTCAGATGAGACTTACGCTGAGAGCAGTCACTGCCGATCCATCCTGGGTAACATTGACAAGATCTGTCAATGGGGTTGCAGGTCCCATTGTTGGTACAGGTACAAACTCCTGCACAGTTTTTCCCAAATCTGCCACTGGGACACACTGTGAACAAGTTACAGGTCAGTATCTCATTATTGTGTCTCATCTCACAAAACCCTAGACTCTGGGGACAGGAGGGAACTTTGATGGTCCTCCACCCAGCTGCCCATTCAGTAGCTGCCCCCACCTAACACCATCCTTTGTCCTCAGTGGACTTGTTTTTACAAACACATTAAGCCACACGCCCTCATTAAAGCATCACGAGTTAGGAGACACCAGCACATTTCTAGAAATCTGATTTCATAACTTTTTGCTCAAGAAGGCAAAATCCTTCCCCAGATTGATTTTTTCACGGGAGGCTGTGCAATTAAAACTGAAGTGTAGTATAAAGTGACCAGAGGTCCCGATTTTTAACAATTTGTCCCGAGGCATTTTAAAAAAGTCTTTTTTAAAATGCCGCGGGAAGCGGGACAAATTGTTAAAAATTGGCACTGTCCCGCCAAAAGTGGGACGTCTGGTCACCTTAGTGTAGTACCGCCCAGAGAAGAAAGAGGTTTTGCTGGAGTGGCAAGCCAACTCTTCCAAAGCTCAAAGTCATATTTGCAAAGGCTGCAAACACAGCCTCCTGGAGGCATTGAGAGCTACCGTGTTTCCCTGAAAATAAGACATCCTCTGAAAATAAGACCTACTTACAGGTTTCCTTCTGAGTGAAATATAAGGCATCCCCCCGAAAATAAGCCCCCGCCCCCTGCCCCCCCTAGGCTCTGTCTCAGAATGCCATTGCTAAACATGAGAGATTTGGTCCACTGATTCTGAAAGAAATGGAGTCATAAGAAATTCACCAGGAAATTCAGGAATTGGATTGTTATGATGATGCTCCAGAAGATGATGACATGATTGTCATTGAATAAATGAGTAAATTCTTGATACTGTAGGATTCACAGTTTGTCTGGTTTGTGTTGACAACTACCGTACTACCGTACCGTATACGGGTAATAAATTTCCTTTATTTTCATTTAACAATAAATGTGCACTGTATTCTTCTTCATGGAAAAATAAGACATCCCCTGAAAATAAGACCTAGCGCATCTTTGGGAGCAAAGATTAATATAAGACACTGTCTTATTTTCGAGGAAACAGGGTAGTAGCTGCAGACAGGACCCTGGGGAGCTGAGGACAGACCGCATGGGGCTTGCTCATCACCAGGTGTCCCTCCCAGGCTGCGCCTCACCTTCGTTGCAGAGGGCTCCCGTGAAGCCAGGCAAGCAGTCGCACAGGCCGGTGATGTGGTGGCAGGGCCCACTGCTGTGCACACACTGCGGGCACGTCTGGCTGCAGCGATGCCCATAGAAACCAGGGGAACAGACTGGAACGAGAATGGAAATCGACCGTTATCTTTCCTCAAGTAGTTTTCTTTCATATCCCACACCGAGACCGAGTTCAAGTTTTGAGTAAAACATGTTTTTAAATGATACTGAGAATTTTCCAAATATAAAATAACAACCACCAAGAAACAGGGTTTTCTTTCATAATGAAAAAAAGACCACTAAACTCTGAACTGCCCGAGGACAGGCAAATGACTTCGTCCTCTTTATTTTCCCATTTATGGCTCCAATTAGCTCGAGGTTTGGCATGGAGCTAAAGGCTTTAATAAATAAATGAAAGAAGGAAATAAAATTCTAAATTCTAAGAAGGCCAAAATAAATACTCTCAAGCCATGTCAAATACTCTCGACCCTTCGCTTAGTCATGACTGGCAATAAATAGGTCTATAGTCAGAATTAAAAGATGGCTCCTCCTCTGCATGGTCCAGCTTAATGATTGTGCCTGAAAAGTGAAAAAGCAAAACACTACACAATTAGGTTCTTCCCAAGACAGTATTTGGGATTTAAATATAGGACAACTGCAAAGAGCTCTCAGTAACAAAAAGTAATTGAAAAATCAGAATAATGTATCTTATAGTTGGTCCTATATTCAGTTTTTGAAAAACACTTACAAGAAGATTTAGTAAAATCTTACGGATCATTTCCTAACTTAAACTTTTTCAACTGACCAAATGTCAGCAGCCCCCATTTTTAACTCGGCAATGCTTATGTCCCCCACAGTACTAACTTTCAGACTACTGGCAGGATGCATGATTTGCCGCAAGGTTTGGCTGATGTTGACTTCTAGTAATTGAAAGAAGGCCAATGCCAAATTGCCTAATAAAATATTTACAGGTCAATGGATTTCTGGAACACCATTTGCACGATTTAAAGGCAGGATCAAGAAACATATCCCGATGGTGATGCCAATGAGGCAATGAAATCGTTACTGGGGAAAAAACGGCTAACGCCCCATCTGTGAGGTCAGCCCTGGAAGGCTGGAAGGAATTGCAGCCGGGGACGTGCTAGGAAGGCCGCTCTGCAAAGGTCAGGGTGCCCATTACACTTCCTCCTGCCTTCAGCTGCCACAGACGTCACTGAGAGGACAGAGATGGCCCCGCAGGAGAGACTGCGCCCAGGGGAACACTTACTCCTCTGGCAGGTGGTGCCTCGGAACCCCGGTGCGCACTCGCAGATGCCGTCGTCGGGGGAGCACGAGGCCCCGTTTTTGCAGTAGCAGGGCAGGGAGCAGTTGGGACCCCAGCGCCCCTCCGCACACACGCTGTCACAGTGGACTCCTGGAACAACACACACGGGCAGGGCTGAGTGAGTGGGAGGCAGGGCGGCCGGTGCCTCGGGGAGGCTAAGTCAGAGACAAGGACCAAGATCTTGGTGTCAGAGCTGAATTATCCCAGCACACAGCGAGTGGAGATGGCCTAAGGTTTAAAATCCACTTATGCACATCAATGTGCCTCCATACATTGCATGATCATGTGTCCCCCTAAGGTTAAAATAATCCCGGGACTGCTTTCTACAGTCAGAGAAGAGAAGGAGTAAAACACCTTGGTTTTTACTGACTTTCCTCTTTGGGGGGAGAGAACAGAGGGAAGGCAACATTTATCGGAACAGTTGCATCGTTTAGCCCTGAGTGATTTCCTCCCTCCCCCTCCATTCTGTATTTGTACAGGGAAATAGACAAAGTGTAAAAAGACAAGGAGCAATAAAAGGTGGTTATATTGTTTTACATAAAGAAAACCCTTTCCCTGGAGCAATCAAATAAACACAATCTTAGCCCTAGCTGGTCTGGCTCAGTGGACAGAGCATTGGCCCTCAGACTGAAGGATTCTGGGTTTGATTATGGTCAAGGGCACCTACCTCAGCTGCAAGATGGATCCCTGCCCCTGATTGGACACATGTGGGGAGGCGACCGATCAATGTGAGGGAGACACACTAATGGTTTTCTTTATCTCCCTCCCTCCCTTCCACTCTCTCTAAAAATCAACGGAAAAATATCCTCAGGCGAGGATTAACACATACAAAAAACACACACAATCTTAAACTATTATGATATTTTGATGCTACACTATACAGCACATAAATCTGTGCCACCGAACTCCTCTTTAAACATTTAATCTGACTCTGAGCAGCTCTAGGTGCAATGTCACAATCGATGTTATTTATAGCTGTTGTCTAAGTTAATGATTCTTAGGAAACTATGTAGGTGTTTAACTCTCACTCTGGAAATACTGAAACTTTAGAGTCAGTCATGAGTGAACAAAATGCCTAGAGGGAACATAAAGAAAATCCCAAGTTGCAAGAATAGAATATAAACCCTGGTTTTATTGAATTAAATGGAAGTGTCCTGCGTAAGTCTGTACTTAAAATAAGACAGAGGCTTTCTTCTTATATGTCGAATTCTTCCCAACTCAAATAACCACTCTTTGCACTGACAGGCAATGAGAATGAGTTGTAATTAGTAGAAAACTGGTGACGGCTGGCTTTCAACCAAGTGAAAACACAATACGGACAAGCATGCACACACTCAGGGATACAAAACACCAACAACTTCCCCTCCCCCCAGCACCAAGGATGCTGAGGAGGCAATGTTGGTATTGCAAGTTTTGCTTCTCTCAATTGATTAGGAGAAAAGTTACCGTGGCCCAAACCTGAAAACAGATGCAGCCCCAAACCAGAACGTGAACACTGCTAATTGGTACACAGCCATTTCTGCTGAAGCACATTTTTCACTTTTGACTGATTTTTCCTTCAGAAAGTCTCCCACATGGTAAAGCAGCCATGGAAGCACACAGACCTCACTGTGTCTGGCTTGAAGCAACAATAGACTATTATTTTAGCTTGTACTGCTGGCTGAGGAAAGGAGATTAGGCCTGGTATAAATTGATAGGTCTACTTGTCAACTTATACCAGGGTCCACAGCATAAGATAATGGGATTTTGGCCTACTATGATTTTTTTTTTCTTTTTTTGGGGGGAGTTCACAAATATATGAATTAAAAAAAAAATCAAATCTGTTTTAGAAAAGCTGAAATGGAATTGCAAACTCCACATTCCCAATGTGACTCACCGGCCATAGAATCTTGTCTGGTGCTGTGACTCACGACTCTGCAAGGCAGAAGCATCAGAAGCACAAAGGAGGGAATCACTTGTATGGGGGCTGCAAACCTAAACTTCTCTTTGTGCAGCGGAAGGAAGTGGCCATGAGAGTAATCTGCTAAGGCTTCACTCCGTTCAAGTTCAGTTCCTGAGCTCTGACCCTGAACGGGACTCCCTCCCCTGCATCAGCCGCTGACATAGGGACGCCTGCTTCCTGGAGATTCAGACACCCTGGCCATTTTAATCTGGAGCCACCCAGGCGAATCCCAGTTGGATTTTGGAGAAGTCAAAGCTGAGTAATTACTTTGTCAGTCTCAGACTCATCCTGATTTTTGGCATTTTTTTTTTGGGGGGGGGGTAGAGAGGGAACGTGGGGAAATAGAAGATTTAGCTATTTATAGTGACATAGTTTATCAGATGCTTGCCAATCTCTCCTTCACATTAATCAATGCAGTTAAGATGGAATGGAGTAAAATTTATATCCAAAAGTCTATGTTGACTTGTGCCGTTATAGATTATCATGATTTACATAGGATTTAGCACATTCTCAATCAGAGCCTGTTGAGAAAAATGACTCGTGGGCAGGTTGACAAATGTGAATAAGTGATCTTTTATTTCATATCTGATTCCTCTTTCCTAACAGGTTTGTTCAGCTGATTAGCAAAACCATCAGTCATAATCAACTTTATCGAGGTAATTTTCATAAACATAACAAGGCCCTCGATATGGCAAGGAGATCCATTGCAAAGATAAGCTCATTTCAAATGATTTACCCATCATTTCATTTCCAGACCATCACAGGGAATTCTAGAAATCATCAATCAAATCTCTATCTCCAATCAACACATGATACACAAATTTCAACAATCCAAGCTTACTTTTAAATAACTTTTATGACCACAATGAAGTATTTCCTTTAAAGAAACTTATGACAATTCTATTACCAACTCCCCCTAAGAAGTCTATATTTCTCTTTTTCTCTATCATTAGTAACAATGAGTCATCACTTTGCAGATATTAATGCCTAACCTGTTTCAAGACAAAGTATATCTCAATCAGGGGGCAACTCCAGGGAAAAGTGTGAAGCTGTCTTCTTTTTCTAATATTTCCTTCTATTGCTATTCTTCCCCTTCAGGCCTCTTGTATCTTTCCCTCCGTCTTAGAATCAGGAAAGGATAAGACACATTTATTATTGCTGAGGTGTTACATTTTCTAAAGAATATTGATATTCTAAGAAATATACAGGCTAAGAGCTTAAGAAATATTGGAATAAATCTCTAACGGTGAAATTACAGGCAATGAGACTTACAGAGTGGATACCAGGGTAAGTGCTACTGATATGAACTCTATGCCAGGCACAGCATGAAACTTCTTCCAGGATAGGAAACTATAACTTTCCTTTAATCATTTTTTTTTTGGCTGTGTATGGGTATGTGTGTATTTTATTCATGAATTATTTCCACTGATCTCATCCTAGTCTTTGCCAACTTTCCTAGAGTCCTATAAGACATCGTTTTACTTCCTTGTTTGTCAAAGACAGAAGAGAGGATTCAACTCAGTAAACATTCATGGGGTCTGACAGCTGCTGGCTTGCTGGTGAGAGGTTCTCTGAGAAAGACCTCTAAACCTAGAGTGAGAATGGGCCCAGAACAGGCACGCCCAGTCCTGCTAGGGGATTGTGGTGGGAGAAGGTAGCTTGTGAAGGCTGAGGAGGGTTCTGAGCTAAAGGAAAGTTGGGTGCAAGGCTCAGAAACTCCAAGAAATATATATGTGTCTTCTCCTCTCAGAAGGGGGCTGAGAGCGGCAGAGCCCTCGGGGCAGCCAGGCAGGGTCAAGTAGAAAAGCCAAGAATGCCTCACTATGGAGGGTGAGCTTCCTCCTGGTGCTGTAACCACACAGAAACTTCATTTTTTAAATACAATCTTTTCTCCTTTCCTTCCTCTTGATTCAAACTGGCCTCATCCGGCACCCCGACTTGCATGGCCACTCCCTTAACCATAAAGCCCTCAGGACAATGGGGTTCTGACCCCATCAAATAATCTTAGGAACAAAGCCTCTAGTCTGTTGCCCACAGAGACAGAGTTTTAGTCAAACTACAGATAATATCTAGGCCTCAGTCCTGTTTCAGGTCCAGACCCTGAAAAGCAGGATGGCCCCACCAACCACACCGGTGTGAAACCAGACAGAGCGACACCATGGCTGACATCAGGACCAGAGGCAATGGTCAGCGCTGACCCATCAGTAGAGACCACGACCCTAATTCCACCATGATTAAGGAATGTCCCTTATACAACCATCCCCTGGAAGCCCTTGTTCGGGGAACTAGGTCTTAGAGCAATGGCTTCAGTTTGATACCATTTTAAAAAATAATAAACCTTTATTTTCTTTGCTGCAAACTCCTGTTTGCATTTGATTGGGCCCTGATGTACACAGGAGAACAAACCCCTCTAGTTTGGTAAGAGTGCTAACAGGGACCAGATGGGCAATTCCGCAGGAGATGTGCATAATTAAACGTATGTTTGTAGAAGGGCAGAAGCTGCTTTGAAGATGAGCCTGGAGGAAGGAAGACCTGTCAGGTGGCTGTTTAGGATTTTCCAGGTTAAAAAAAAAAAAGATAAAAATGACAAGGTCTTAAACTAAATTAATGGTAGTTAGGATGCAGGGGAAGATGAATCCCAGAGAAATGTAGGAGAGGATGCAGACGAAGGATACAGTCCCCTCCCCAGACTCACCCAGGGTCATTGATGAGTTCTGGGAGCTCCATGAAGGAGAGATGGTGCCTGGTTCTGTTCACTACAGTGCCTAGCACATGCGAGGTGTCAAATATTGGCTGAATGAATGAATTAGCACTGTCCCTTTTCGGTGTGACATTCAGGACCATTTCCCAACTAGATGGAGCAATGGTGTCATTTTTTCCTTCCCCAAAGAAGCCACGAAAAATAGGCTGAAGCCGGGAAGCCCGGCATAGTCACATTTTGTGCACCTCACAGGGTGACCCTTCCCAGCAAAGGGAGTGGAGGTGTCTGCCTTGCTTCTTTTGGAGAAGATAAACTTTCATGAGCTTAGGTCTGTGTGTGTTTTTTGTTTGTTTGTTTGTTTGTTTGTTTATGGGTTGTTTTTTTAAAAATATATTTTATTGATTTTTTTTTGCCCCCATCCCTCCCTCCCAAACATACCCTCCCTTC